TCCGAAACCTGTTTTCTCTCCCATATTCTATTATACAGGGTCCGGCAGTGAAACGGAAAGATTTCGTAAATAATTTTATTGTTAAAGAATATTTTTTTTAATAATTTTTAATACATTAATGGAAAATAAGAGAGTAGCCATTTGGTTTACAATGTCAAAAAAATTATTTTTTGAATACTACATCCGCTAAATGTCTTCCGTTACAATTTATGCATTCTTGGAGTCGTGCCTGAAAGTTTTGCATAACTGCAAAAAAGATGTCGCAGCCTGTTAAGTCGGGAGACCAAGGGGGCCAACTGATATCCCCGTTTCAAAGCATTTACAGCATTCATTGAAATTCTTGCAGTGTGACTTGTTGCCCCGTCATGTTGAAAAAGTATGTGTTCATTCACTGGAAAGTCTTCAAGTTGTGGTGTGAGAAAATTATGAATCATTGCAACTTGTCGTACAGAATGAACGGTAACGGCATTTTCAGCATCATTCTCAAAAAAATATGGACCAATGATTCCATTTGACGAAATCTCACCATTTTGAAAATAGGCTTTAACTGCGTAACCGCGATGCTCACCCAACGCTCCATTGTAAACTAAATGGCAAATCATGCAGGTCTTGGCAAGTCGACTACTTTCTTTCCCATCACTTTGCGGCACGCTATAAACCCAACCTCAAATCTTCCCTTTTCACTGCCGAACGTGTTATAAATAACACTGCCGGCTGTAGTATGTCGCCTGATCAGGAAGTTTTGGAATAACGAAATTTTTTTGACGGTCAAATTTATAGTGAATAATCCGTTTTTTTTCCCTTCAACAGGCTAAAAAAAGCCTTCGCACGAAGCTTATGGATCCTTAAAAATGCAGTCTTTTTAGTTTCGTCGGTTTCTTTCTTTATTTTTTCATCTAATTCAAGACATTTTGAACACGTGTCCGTTTGTGGTGTCCCAAACCGAATATTAAAAAAAAGTACAAAAACCTTACGGAAATAGCATTGCTTAACACTAAGGACGGGATCTTGAACCTGCTTTTCGTACATTCTTCACATTTTTGAAATGGAGAGATCACTACTGAGATAGATTCCCTGCAGTAATGGGATTCTGTGCATTTGAATTGCTTAGTAAATGTTTTTATAGCAGCGCATTTTGAAGTAAACTTACCAGTCTTTCTATCACCGTCCCTCTTTTCTTGTGGAATCTTACCCTCAAAGAAGTAACGTCTTACCACTTCTTCTACCCTGTGTGTTTAGTAATAACCAGAACTTTAAGAAATGTTGGACTGCAAACATGCTTTGTAGTTTTTTCCTTAATTATTAATCTACAAATAAATATTTGAGCACATACTCTCTAAAATTGACCGCCATTACGAACCTCATTATTTTATTACGGTTTCTTTTCTACAATGCTGATCATATTTGGCGTTTCCGTGGTTTGTCTTCTTCTTCAATGTTAATTTCCATATTACACAATGTAATAACCGCAATGAACAAAAATTTTGCGTTTCTATAGGATACTTAAAGAGGTACTATCAACCAACGCTACCGAACATATGATCATAAATGCTTTAACGCATGCACGGTGGATTTAGCCATTTCTGATGCACAAAGAGCAACGGATTTGGCCGATTTTGCAACTCAGATCAATATTTATGCAACAATTTCCATGGGATATGGTCTGTTTTAACACAAATGAGAAAGGGAAATCATGCAGAGAGCCATCTAGAGTTACAAAATAAAATAAAACCGAAAATGACTAATTGTGGATTCTCGCTTTTGATTCTAAGCTACTCATATGTCGAATTGTACATCACTTGACCATCACTTAACATCCAATATCACCAACAATATACAACATATTAATTCACGGAGCAGTCTTAAAAAAAATCCAGTACTACCTATTGGTCAACTATCTGAGGAGGCAGCAGATGCGCGCAACAATTTCACCAAGGCTTTTCAAGGAAATAGAGATATCTTAACCCTCCAGTTGACGTGCTGGGTCTGTAAGACCTACCAAAATCACCTTTTTATTGTATCTTTTCAATTATTTTTTTTAATTGATTTATCTTCTTTGTACATTCTTATATTTACTATATTAATTTTATAGCCTGTCATTTAGTTACGAGAGGGGCTTTGGGCCTGTTAGACCCAACCCGTGTGTTCGTGTCGCTATTTTTCAAATAACTTTTTTATCATAAATAATAAAAATGTTATAGGTAATTGATTTCAATTATGTATGAAATGTTCCTGGGGCATCCCCTGCGTTGTAACTATACGGAGTTTCTTCTGTTCAGGGAAAGTCCTGAATACAAGAAGTATTTCTTTCGATTGCTTTTGAATAAGAAGGTATATTTTTGTTTGCTATCAGGGGATCCCATTCCTTGGTTTGTCTACTGTAGAGATGTAGGAACATATTTGAGAAATTTAATCAAGTTTGTAAAAAATATTACAGTGTGGGTGAATATGTGACCTTGGGCGAAATGTTATTAGCATTTCGCGGAAGATGTTGCTCTACATTCCAAATAAACCAAATAAATATGGGATAAGAATATTTTCTTCAGTGATTACAAGAACCTTTTACACATCGCATTTGGAGTTGTATGGTGGACTACAACCTACAGGATCCTTTCAAGTAAACAATTCTGGAGCCTCGCTCATTATGAGAATGACCAACCATATTTCGGGAACAGGACGGAATATTACCATGGACCACTGGTTCACTATTGTCGAAGCCGTACATCGATTGCTGCATGAACATCGCCTAACAGTAGTTAGTACAATCCAATCCAATAGAAAATCATTGCCGAATGAAATTAAAAATGTGAAGGGTAGGGCTGCACGGCCTTCAGGTTTCGCGTTCCATGCTGATATGGCGATAACATCGTAAATACCCAAAAAATCTAAGAATGTTTTAGTTGTATCATCAATGCACTATGATGGCAAAATCGAAAATTCTGGTGAAAATAAAAAATCTGAAATTATAACATTCTATAATAAATAATAATACAATGAGTGGTGTTGATGTAGTTGATAGAATGATTACATCTTACAACATTGCCCGAAACACAAGGCGGTGGCCATTGGTGGTTTTCATCGGCATACTGAATGTAGCAGCAATCAACGCATTCATAATAAATAAAAGTAATAATCCTGATGGCGCACTTTCATAAAGCAGGCGATTGTTTTCGGAGCAGCTGGGCAAGAAAATACGAGCTAATAAACCGAACCTACCGCGGAACGTAAGAGGACTAGCGGTTCAACTATCAGGACTCCCAACTTCACAAGAATCTTAAACGGTTTCGACTGGTCGACAAAGGTGTAAATACTGCAACGACCGAAAATCGAAATATTTTTGCAAGTTTTGTGGTACTTACATCTGTTTGGAGCATTCAAATCCATGCTGCACCGACTGCGCAGAGAATTTTGTTTAAGATGTTTGACCATCTACATTTTGTGCATAGACTGTATATATATCAAAATTCTATTTTCTTTTCTGTTTATTGAACATTTTAGTTTGCGTTTAGGAAAAAATTTTTCTTATATTGTTTTCAAATTTTTTTGTTTACACTTTTTTGTGTAAACTACGTTAAATGTAACATTTTTTCTAATAAATAATAACTTTTTGGGCAATTGTTTTTTGATAACGATTTCTACTTTCAGTAGTACAAAATAAGACGAGTAACAGTAGAATACAATAAATTTAATATTTTATTGTAGGAGGAATAAGCATCAAACTTTGGGTCTGAGGGACCCAGCCCGTCGAACAGTGTGATTTTTAAACCACCCGTCAACTGGAGGGGTTAAATTGACTTCTCTTGAGCTCAGATCCCTTGCTCAGTAGCATGAGGACTTTTAAAAAAAGAAAATTTACTTCGTTTTTTTCTGAAACCATCAATATGCTTCTGCCAGCACACCTAAACCCAATGGTTTTTCCATCCGAAAATGACGAAGAGGGAGTTATTTCCGAAGAAGATTAATTTGTAATTTTTTCCTTCCTCAAGTTTAGAAACAATAGTAAGCAATAAAAAAATTTGGCAGCGTATAATGGTCAAATACCCATATGTGCGCCGTTCCACTATTCAAAATCATTAACATTGAAAATATCAATTTCTTATTTCTTTGGAACAACTTTTCATAACGTGACATTTTTACGACTAATCTTTTTATCTCATTTAATTCACTGAACTTTTTAATATTTAATTTTAACCTCCAAAACCTCATTTCTTCTAAGATTAGTCCAAAAACAAACGTCGCACAGTTTCGCACTGTATGATAAGATAAGATAAAAAATAATAAAAAATACTTTTTACCTCTTTCGCACGTCGTCTCCCTGCCATTTTATGTAACGTCGTGACTTTTGGCGCACTATATATTTATTTTACGTATTTATTTTTCTTCGTAGTACATCCGGTCTAAAAAACCTGCCAAAGATGGTTCGCCCAGACAAGAGGAACATCTCCCGGAGAAACACCGTCAGTTTTATGTACGATGAACTCCTCGCCAAAGCAGAAATATCCGAAAATAATTCCACCGAACAAAGTAAATTATTTTTTTTAATATTTATTTAATTAATTTTTTATTAATTTATTTTGATTTAGTTGTTAAACGTGCGGATAAACGCAGCATGAAACTTCAACGAGGTTCCGAACGGGATTTAAAACTAGATATTGGTTTGGCACAAAATTTCAATTCTCAACCGGAATCAAAAGAAACCGTTCCTGATTTATTACCGCCTCCTCCATCAACACCACAACCTAGCGTTCAAGTGGAAAGTTCGAAACAATTTAAAAGTTTAGCATCTAAACGTGTGGCCCCTTTAAATCGACGTCAAGCTCGATCGGTTTCCGGTAGTTTTGCAAACGGCGATTTAAGCTTTATCAAGAGATGCCCTCCATCCCGAATCGAATTCCATCGGACTTTCGGCGTTTTAATCAATATGGGTGTCCAAAGGGATAAAGGATCAGGAAATGATCAACGTCCACCTCGAAAACACGTAAGTCTGTTTTGAAAGTAATTAAATAAATAAATTTATTGGTTATGAGTTGAATTGTTTTTTAAAGGGATTAATCGTAATTGAAGTGATGACTCAAATTTTATCATCTGAATAAAATATAAATAGTTACGTATTATGTAGGTGAATCAAAATTGTTTTTTAAATGGAAATCGAGATTATTTTTTTGTGTTGGATTTATCTTTCAGGAAATTTAATGACTAAAGTTAACAACTAAAAAAAAAATTTTTGTACTATGTCCTTGAGATTAGAAAATTATTTAGATAAGTTAGGTATTGTTTGATAACTAAACTTTTAGGAGTGTTTCTTATTTTGATAATTTGCTACTTTTCTTTGGAAAAATTCAAGAATTAAGACACGTGATGAGTTATAAAAAACGACGATTTTTTTAATCAATGTGTAATGACCCAAAAAAACACGTTAAAAATAAAAAGAAAGTGCGGAAAAGTGTAGAACATACCGAAAAATCACATTAAAGTTTCGATGTGACGTCACGTTTTGTTAGATAGACTGTGTGTCAATGAACTCTGTGTTAATACTAGAATTGACACTAGACTGAAAACTAGAAATATTCGGATCCGAATGATTCTAGTTCTAGGTCTTGTGTTAGTTCTAGTGATAGTGTTAGTGTAAAACTAACACTATATCGGGATTAGTCGGGTTGTATCGGGTTCTAGGTCTAATGTTAGTTCTACTTTTCTTTCAATAAAAATATACAACAATCGTCTCTCAAGACGGCTCCATTGAATTAAAAGTTGGTAAAATATGAAAATTCAGCAAACTATAGACCAATATCAATACTTTCTGCAATTTCTAAAATTTTCGAGCGTATTAATAGCTGTGAGACTGACAAATTTATTTCAGAACAATGAGGTTCTCAATAATCCCCAACACGAATATATAAAAGGGCGATCTGTTACTAGTGGAGTCTATAAAATAGTACAATATATTATCAAAGTAATCGATCAAAGAAAATATGTCGAATTGATGAGCATCGATTTAATAGGGCGTTTGATAGTGTTAGCCACTCGTTTCTCCTGTACAAGTTAGAATGTTATAGTATAAGTGGTACGGAGCTTAGCATAACTTCATATTTATATAATAGGAAACAAACGGTAATAATAGATGGAACTCTGTCTAAAATGTGTAATATCAATGTAGGAGTGCCACAAGGGTCCATTCTAGGTTCACTTTTGTTTGTAATCTATGTTAGTGATATGCCTTATTCTGTGCCTAACGACGGTGTACGCTTGTACGCGGATGACATCACTTTTATATCAATTGCGAACAACTTGTGTTATCTGTGAAATAAAATCCATCAAACATTAGTATCTACAAAGGAATGGTTTGGGGCAAATGGTCTAAAAGAAAAGACTCAATACCTGCATTTTCAAAACAATGTTGGGACAGAGTATAACAACCTAAAATTTCTAGGAATACATTTAGACAACAAACTGAACTGGTAAGCACATGTAGAGAACATCTCCAAAAAGTTGAACACAGTAATATATACGTTAGGGATATACGAAATATAACCACCACGTTTGCCGCGCGACTTACCTATTATGCTAATTTTCATTGTATTACTATTTTCGGAATATTATTCTGGAGAGCATCATCAGCTGCAAAAAAGTTTTAAAACTTAAAAAAAAGGCACTGAGGGCGCTATGCAACCTTAACATAAACTAGAGAAAATGCGGAAAAGTGTAGAACATACTGAAAAATCACATTAAAGTTTCGATGTGACGTCAAGTTTTGTTACATAGACTCTGTGTATCGAGTTTCGTCTAAATATTTATAGTTCTAGGTCTAGTGTTAGTTCTAGTTTTAGTACAATAAAAGTATGCCGTCTTAAGAGACGCACGGCTAAACCCGAATGTTTCTGGTTCTAGGTCTATTGTTGGTTTTACTTTTTTCTTAATAAAAGTGTACCACAATCTAACGCTAAATAACATTTAAAACTAGAACTAACACTAGACCTATAACTAGAATCATTCGGGTTTAGCTATACGCTCCATGCCCAACCCGACATTTGAGAAATTCGTACTAGTTTAAATGTTAATTAATCTAACTCAAAGTGGAATTTCTACACAAAATCCTGAAATAAATCACTAAATTAGGTGGATCCGAATGTAAAGTCAAGGCCCTACCCCCCTCTAAAAAGATAAGTCACATTTGGGTCACAAAGAATCGAGTGTGTAGAAGCAATTTTTAAATCTGTAATGGAAGGGACACAGAACGATATCACTTCTTATATTATTCAGTAAATAGTCTTCAGCTAGTAGTATTGTAATCTCCACGCACTTAGTAGTGTTTTGGCAGCAGGATATAGTCTTCTGGAAGCATTAATTAGTCTTTGCCAACAATATCTAGCTTTCTCCAAGCAATTAGTAGTCTTTTCAACAATATTTAGCATTCTGAAAGTAGTTAATAGGCTTTTGGAAACAGTATCTTGTCGTTCCAAGCAGATAATAGTTTCTCCCAGCAGAATTTAGTCTTCTCCAAGCAGGTCGTAATCTTTTCTAGTAGTATATAGCACTCTGAAAGCAGTAAGTAGTCTTATGGAAGCAGCATCACGTCTTTCCAATCAGTTTGTAGTTGTTTGTTAGCACTATCTAGTCTTTTCCAAGCAGATTGTAATTATTTCCACCAGTATCTAGCATTTTGGAAGCAGTAGGTACCTTTTTTGGAGAGCGCATCTCTCCTTTCCATGTAGTTATTAGTCTTCTCCAGTAGTATTTAGCATTGTGACAGCATTAGGTAGCTTTTTGGGAAGCATATCTCTTCTTTCCAAGCAGTTGTTAGTCTTTTCCAGCAGTATTTAACATTATGGAAGCATTAGGTAGCTTTTTGGAAAGTATATTTCTTTTCCAAACAATTATTAAAGTCTTTGAAAACAATAAGTAGTCTTGGAAGCAGTTTTTAAAACTAGAACTAACACTAGACCTAGAACTAGAAACATTCGGGTTTAGCCTCACGTCTCTCAAGACGGCTAAACCCGAATGATTCTAGTTATAGGTCTTTTGTTAGTTCTAGTGATAGTGCTAGTGTAAAATTGGAACTAAAACTAGACCTAGAACTAGAATCATTCGGGTTGAGCCGTGCGCTCCATGCCCAACCCGACATTTGAGAAATTCGCACTAGTTAAAATGTTAATTAACCTAACTCAAAGTGGAATTTCTATACACAATTCAGACATAAATCAGTAAATTAAGTGGATCCGAATGTAACGTTTAAAGAGAGGGGCCCTACTCGTCTTTAAAAACATATGTCGCATTTGGGTGACGAAGAATCGAGTGTTATAGCAGCAATTTTTAAATCTGTAATGGAAGGGACACAGAAAGATATCACTCAACAGAAGAATACTTTCAGTAAATAGTCTTCAATCAGTAGTATTCAATGAGTACATAGTCTTCTGAAAGCATTAAATAGTCTTTGCCAACAATATCTAGCTTTCTCCAAGCAATTAGTAGTCTTTCCAACAATATTTAGCATTCTGAAAGTAGTTAATAGTCTTTTGGAAACAGTATCTTGTCTTTCCAAGCAGATAATAGATTCTCCCAGTAGTATTTAGTCTTCTCCAAGCAGGTCGTAATCTTTTCTAGTAGTATATAGCGCTCTGAAAGCAGTGAGTAGACTTATGGAAGTAGTATCTCGTCTTTCCAATCAGTTTGTTAGAGTTATTTGTTAGCTCTATTTAGTCTCTCCAAACAGATTGTAATCTTTTCCACCAGTATCTAGCATTTTGGAAGCAGTAGGTATCTTTTTTGGAGAGCATATCTTTTCTTTCCAAGTAGTTATTAGTCTTTTCCAATAGTATTTAGCATTCTGACAGCATTAGGTTGCTTTTTAGCGAGCATATCTCTTCTTTCCAAGGAGTTATTACTCTTTTTCAGCAGTATTTAACATTCTGGAAGCAGTAGGTAGCTTTTTGGAAAGCATATCTCTTTTCCAATTATTAAAGTCTTTGAAAACAATAAGTAGTCTTGGAAGCAGTTTTCCTCCTGTCCAAGTAGATCAAAATCTTCAACAGCAGTGTTTAGGGTTCTGGAAGCAATAGATAGCTTTTTAAAAGCAAAATTTTTTTTCCTCCTTTCCAAGCAGTTTTTAGTATTTTACTAGCAGTATTTAATCTTCTGATAGCAATAATTACTCTTTTGCCAACAGTATCTAGCATTCAGGAATCAATAAGTTAAAGAGGGTAGGGCATCAGGGATAGATTTTAAGTTATCTTTAGTTTATAGATGGTAATCAAGGATATGTTCGTCGAAAACCTAAGAAACAACCGTATTTCACCCGATTTAACCTGTTTTAACTAAATGTACTGCGAAAATATATAGTTAAGTGACGTCACGTCGAAACTTTAAAGTGATTTTTCGGTAAGTTAAAAAATATAATAATCGATTTTTAAGCGACATGATGATTCTTGAATTATATCCTTTTTTTTGTTAGAAATTGACTATAAATTCAAAAATAATTTCAGAGAATTCATAATCTTTATCTAGACACTGTAAATAAAATAAAATTTTCGTTTGATTTCTGAGAATCGTACATTTCAACGAATCTCACTAAAGTTATTTATAAATTCACACCACACGTCTAAATAAAAATATCAACTTATCGCTAATTCTTAAATTATATATTTTTTTTTATTTATTTTAGATAAGTAAAGAAGAAGCTTTATGGCAACTAGAAATAAAAGATTTAATTTGGTTGGAACTTCAAGCGTACCACGCTGGACGTACAACCGTCGACGAAGATAATTATATTTGTATAGCTCGCGAGTGTATTGGTTCATTATTGAATGAAATCATGATGTATAAATTTCGTAGGAAGAAAAAACGTGTTTCTGTGACAAGTCAAGATAGTGGTGTTGAATCGGATGATTGTTCCGGATGTTTATCAATGTTTTGTACATCGTGTTTAGAAGCCCAAAACGATGCTTTGCGGGAAGTCGAAGAATTAATGCAACGATTAGAAAAAGTTGAGGGACTTTTTATGTCGAGTAAAGCTTTCGCGGAGGTTTATCCTCTTTATAAAAGTCCTGAATTTGTTGGGAGGGTGAAAGCAATGTGTCTTTGGTATAATATGATGAAACATCAACGATTAAAATTAGCTATTTTGGGCCGAATGTTAGCGTTTTTAGAGAATAAGTATTTTCATTGGCCAACAACGATTTCTTATGATGGTTGTTCAGCTGATTCAACAAGTCCTTCTGATAGCAACAGTTCAAATTCATCGGTTGATTATCTAGTCGATAAGGCGCCTTTAGATATTTACGCGCACCAATTATTCTTAACGAATAAATCGATGGATTTAAAAACTAATCCTTATAGGAAATATATTGAAAATATTTTAAAAACGAGAGGTTTAAATAAAAGTATGCAATTTTTAGAGAAATTGCACACAGATATTTTAATGAGAGCTCAGATTACATTGGAAAGACCGGGTGATACAGAAATATTTATAAATTCAACTTCAAATCTAACAGAAGATGATCATGATTTAGAATTAATCCGTTACGGTTGTCATTCGCCTGAAGCTAAATCATTAGATTTACCCTCATACAAAGCAGTATTTTTATACTTATCAACGGTACCTTTAAAAGTAATCCACGAATTTCTTTTAATGCGACTCGAACAAAAACCAAAAAACCCATCCCCGTTAAGTATAAGACAATTAACGCGCGAATTAAAAGATGGAATTCGTATAGCAACGCGCCATCGAGATCGGGTACTTACAAATTATCACGTCGCTTTAAGCGGAAGTTCAAAAGACGCGAAAGAGTTTTATGTGCAAAGTTTGGATTCTTTCGACGATACGCTACAGGAAGTTTTTAAGGATTATTTGGAGTATTTAGAGGAGTGGGCGCTGTTGCAACACGATAATTTCCAGAAAAATTTATTGGAGGAAGAGTGGAAGTTTATTGTTGAAGTGGCTCCAAGTATTCAAGGACCAGATTTAAAAAGACTCGGTTGGCAACTAGCTATGAAGAAAATGACATCGATTCTTTGTAAATTAATGAGTGGGATTGGTGAAAGGCTTATGGAACGACTCGATGAGATTCAAATTGAAATTCAACATGAAGAAGATGATGATGTTAATCAAAAGTAAGTAGATTAAAAAAATTAATTATTGTCATTTTTTGTATTTCCACGTCCTTTTTTGTAAATCTTTATTTCTAAAAAGCTATATATGAAGGGTGTATCTGAATGACAGGGGGCGATTCTTTAGCGAATTTTAAGGATATTTTCTTATAGGAATTATGGGTAACTTTGGCTCCCTTAGGGAGCTACGTCCTTAAAAAAATTTTGGTTTATTTTTTTTTCTCAAGAACACCAGGAAAATGAAATTTGGAGAATAAGTTTAGCTCATAATAGGGCACGTTTCTAGCTTATTTATACTTTCAATATTTCCTTCTAAGTTACTAAAGGTAAGCATCCCTGTTCAATTTATGCCTAGTTTTTTTCTATTGAAATGATAAATATATTGGGAAAACTTTAGGTAGATATCTTGTTAAGTCAGTGAATAATGATTGGAGTCTTTGAAGTTAAATTAGTTAGTTTATTGCTTTTATTAAATATGCTACAACTACAATTCTTTCTATAACAAGTGTAAAAACGAATGTCACGCCCGGGTTGGGTATGTTCTAAAGTTAGGTTAGTACCAAACTACCAACAATAATAATTCCTAACACTCCTAAGACTCGATTTGAAGTCTTTTGGTTACAAAAATACTAATCGCTTAGAAATTCAAAATATTGTCGCAATAACTTCGTGCAAGATACCTTGCATGCAAGAAAAATTGCTTACTGTAAGGTGGCCTTAACAAAATTTAGCAATTTCTCATGACTTAATGACTTAATATCTGATTAAAGTAGTCTTTATCTGTATCAATTTATTGTCTTCGATAAGGTTTCAATAAATTAGTGGTACAGTGATGTATATTACATGAATTTTGCAGGGTGTTGTTTATAAAGGTGATGAAATTCTCCAAACGTATTGGTATTTATTATATTACAATATTAAATGAAACGTCACCTACAAAGCAGAGATCGTCGCTATTATCAACGCTCCACTATAAACAGCATATCACAGAAACGAATTTCGCGCAGCTCTTATCGCTGCTCTCATTGCTGTCTTATGTTAGTTCTAGTGATAGTGCTAGTGTAATACACTATACCTAGAACTACAATTGTATCTAAGTCGGTTCTTAGACGTATGATGCAAATCGGACTTAAAATTGTATAACGTGGTTGGCGCTTAGCTTTATCCTTTAAAACAAATAGTATTGTCTTTCGGTATTCTACATTTTTTCTAAGATAAGTTACACGTTTACCTACCAGACAGCATGAAAATCTCTAAAAACGATACTATGTCGCTTAGTCAAGTGCTGTATAACACGGTCCAATTCGTTAAAATAATTAAGAACAGTTTATGGAAAAATTGTTGAAACGGGTCTAAAGATTTAAATTTTTTGCAATTGTTTGGTATAGATTTTAAATTTTTTCCGTCATTTTTAAACGAGTAATGACGTCATCGATATTTTTTTCAAATAGGAATGCCCCATTTCTATTATGGAATATGAAAGAGGACTTTTTTCTGAATCTAGTACAGTCAATATTAATATTGGTTACATAAGAAAATTTACGAGAAAAATCATCTTAAATTTTCATGATGTTCCATTCATTTGAGATAGAAAAATAGCAGTAGCCATGCGTAACCATGGCAACCAATTGTTTCAGATATCAAAAATTAATCATTGTCTTAATAAAATATCTAAAACAACTGGTTGTCATGGTTACGCATGGCTACTGCTATTTTTCTACCTCAAATGAATGGAAAATCATGAAACTTTGTCGTTGTTTTTTATGTAATTAATATTAATTTTGACTTTACCAAATTCAAAAAAAAACCATCTTTTATATTCCGTAATAAATAATATTACTATTACTATTTGGGGGATTGCTATTTGAAAAAAAAATAGCGATGACGTCATAACTAGTTTAAAAATGGCGGAAAAAATTTAAAATCTATACCAAAAAATCGCAAAAAATTGAAATCTTTACACCCACCAGTTTCAGCGATTTTTCTATACACTGTTTTTAATTGTTTTAATGAATTTATCCGTTACTTTTGGGAAGCACTGTATATGTTTTGATCTTTTCGTATTTTCATATGCCTATATCATAGACATTACACTAGTACTGTCCATAAATAAAGAAGAAAAAAAAGTTTTTGACGCGATGTTGTTGTCGCTATATACTCAACCTCAGCTGTCGACAAAGCCACACAACGTCACTTCTGTGAAAAAAATATTGTTTTGACCCGTTTTCTGTTGTGTTTGTCTCCAGCCCAATCAGTATCTATACCGGGTGTCCCTCAAAAGTGGCTCACCCCCATATTTTTCTTTATTATTGGTGATATAAGAAAACCATTTGGAATGCATAGTTAGGTCGCTAAAACGGATTATTACGACATGAAATCATTCTTTTTGTACTTCCGGTTATACCGGATGTGAGTACTAATTTCGCTATTTTTTTAAATCTATAATTTTTTTTTCTTCAGTTGGGTTGATAGTATAATTTCACATAACTTTTACTTGAAAAAATTTTCACGATCGCTTATAATTTTTGAAAAAAAAATTTTTTTCGTTATTTTATAACGTTTTAGTACCTTCGGAAAATGTATTACAACTTTTGACGCATAGTAGCTAGGTTAATAGTATAAACTACGTTATGTCCCTCTTGATTTGCTATTTCTCGAGCAGTGATCACTGCTATGCTTTAGTCAGTGGTTCTTTTTTAATAATGGTGTAAATTAACAGTTGTATTAAATTAGTTTTAAAAGAAAAACGCGATCAAACAATTAAGTTTAATTCAATTATTTTTGATTTTTTATTTTTTTCTTTATTTTTTGTTCTTTTACACTAAATGTACTGTAGCTGATAGTAACTTACAATGTCCATTGTACATTATAATTTGGATTGTTTACTTTATTTTGGTTAAAACCTCTCAGATCACCTGACCTCACCTGACCTTTAGATTCTTTTTATGGGGCAAAATCAAAAATGAGCTGTATAATACACCATAAGGTCTCGTGAGGTATTAGAAAATAAATCGAGTTAGAAATTGTATTACCTAAATATCTCCGCAGAAATAACGTCGAGTCGTTAGATCGACAATACGCAAGATACAATTATGTAAAAATCGAGGCGGGAGCATTTTGAAAATTTAAAAAATTAGTTTTTTTGATCTTACAATTGAATTAAATTTAATTGTTGGATAGCGTTTTTCTTTTAAAACTAATTTAATACAACTGTTAATTTACACCATTATTAAAAAAGAACCACTAACTAAAGCATAGCAGTGATCACTGCTCGAGGAATAGCAAATTAAGAGGGACATAACGTAGTTTGTACTATTAACCTAGCTGCTATGCGTCAAAAGTTGTAATACATTTTCCGAAGGTACTAAAACGTTAAAAAATAACGAAAATAATTTTTTTTTCAAAAATTATAAGCGATCGTGAAAATTTTTTCAAGTAAAAGTTATGTGAAATTATACTGTCTACCCAACTGAAGAAAAAAAAATTATAGATTTAAAAAAAAAGCGAAATTAGTACTCACATCCGGTGTAACCGGAAGTACAAAAAGAATGATTTCATGTCGTAATAATCCGTTTTAGCGACCTAACTATGCATTCCAAATGGTTTTCTTATATCACCAATAGTAAAGAAAAATATGGGGGTGAGCCACTTTTGAGGGACACCCGGTATATTCAATTAGTTTTTTTGATGCTTTCGTGTATTTTATTCCTTTCTCTCTCGTCTTTTGGCTGTCTTCCATTATCCCTCACTAGGCTTATCAAGACATCTGCTCAACAGAACTGTACTGATATAGAAAACAATGTGTGGCCTTAAAACTGCCAGATACATTATACATCCAATTAACTTGCGATATGGTACATCTAGCACTTTATCTTTTTCGTTTATTTGATATTCAGTATTCATTAGAACCTTACAGTGTGTCATATTAAACATTTTTAAAGTTATCTATCATCCAAGTTTGCTTAATATACAAAATTTCTTGGTTTCGACTCACTTCCATTCCTATAAATTTCTTCAACTCTCCCAAAACAATTACATTAAATACCTTTTTTAGTAATCTTATAGTTTCGTTTATTTTATCTTATTTTCCTGTTACTATAATGTCATCGACATATATTAATGACAAAAATCATGCTGCGACTTCATAAACATGTTTCCTAACATTTTCGCGTTGAATGTATTATTCCAACATGTTGGAGACTGCTTTAATCCATAAAGAGCTCGATTTAGTTTCAAAACAGTACCCTTTTCAGTTTTACAATCTTCTGGTATTTTTATATAAACTTCAGACGTAAGTTCTCCATTCAGGAAAGCTGATAGTATATCCAACTGTTGTAACTTCCAAGTCTTTTGTACTGCATGTACAAGTAATGTTCTTATTGTTGGGTACTGGAGCATTCTGTATTGTTGACAATTTCTCTTTTAGTTGGAAACCTTTTGTCATTACTCTTGCTTTATGCGTTCCGTCTTGTTTAATTTTGAATGTCCTCTTGATTTGTGTCTTAAAATCGAATTTCCATTCATTACAACGTCTCTTCCTGCATATATTTTATTTTCTTCTACTTTGTATAATCGATATCCGTTAGGACAACCATCCGCACTTTAATTGATTTACTCGCGAATTTATCACTGATCAATGCATTTGGAATCTTCAAAAAACTAATGCAACCACATACCCTTAATTTTTTAAGATCGTGCTTCTTCTTAAACCAAAAAACTCCTGGTAATTTGTATTTATGTGCAGTTGTTGGACTTCTATTTATTAGATAAACAACTGCTAAAACTGCTTTAGTCCATAAATAGCACACTTCTATTGCCCTTTAGACTAGTATTCATTGCTATACCTTTATAGTATTTATATAGACGTCACTCTGCATATCTTTCACCAACTTTTCTGAGCAATTTTCCTTGATTGATTAGATATTTGCATTTATTCTTTTTTTTTTGTATTTTTCAGAAATATGTTTTTGGGAATGCTACGTGAACTTCAAGGTGTTTTTAAAGACGAAAGAGAAATGGTAGCAAAAACGATGGCATTCGCACGAACCGTTCTTAAAAACAACACTCATCACCTCAACATCGACATTATCGAGGATTTCAAGCACCAATACGTCCAATTAAAATGTCTCATAGCAAACGCAATCGAAAAAGCCCAAGTTATGTGTGATTCTCTTCCTATGGAGCATTTAGATGATGCCGAAAAAATGACTTTAATCGCACGATGCAGAGAGATTCTATTACAAGGTTATAAATTCGGATTTGAATTTTACAAAGAAATGTCTGAGTTTATACCAAAAGATGCCAGAGAAAAGTTATCGCGAAGTATGATTCAATTTGCAAAGCTTTGGATGAAATTTACGATGGAGAGGTGCGAAAGAGGGCGAGGGAGAAGACCGCGTTGGGCTTACCAAGGTCTTGATTTTCTTTTAACGGTTTGCGAACCTCAAAATACTATGTATTTAACCGACGAGGAATTCGACGATCTTAAAAAAAGTATGGATGCGTGTATTTCGCATGTAATCGGTTCGATGACGCCGGATGTTCACACTCCAAAACTGATGTTGGAATTCACTCGAAGCCAATCTTTAAGAGGGCGAGGATCTTCTCCAAGTACAAGAACACCACCTTATAAAACTCAACGGTCCAATAATCGTAAGCAAAGTGTCGAATCGAGTCCGGAAAAATCGCCAAGAATTTCTAATGGTCCAAAATGCGTCAGTTTAAGCGAAGGCTTAGAAAAAGCAAATAAAAAATCGACCGTTCGACAAGAAAGATTAATGGCAGCTGTAAACGAATTGGAAGAGTCTTTAGATAAAAAGTTAAAAGAAGCCGAATTAATCGGAACTGTAATGAATTGTCCAAAAGAAGCGAATCATAAAGCACACATTCGAAGACGCCACGTTACATTTACTTGGCAAAGAGGTATTAAAATCGGCCAAGGAAGATTTGGGAAAGTTTACACGGCTGTGAATAATACAACCGGAGAAATGATGGCTATGAAAGAAATAAGTCTTCAACCGAATGATGTTGTAACAATTCGCAAAGTAACCGAAGAAATAAAAATTTTAGAAGGGATTAACCATAGAAATATCGTTCGATATTACGGATTAGAAGTCCATAAGGAGGAGATGTTAATTTTTATGGAATTTTGTCCTGAAGGGACGTTGGAAAGCTTAGTTGCTGGAACTGAAAATGGTTTACCAGAAATTTTAATTCGAAAGTATACTTATCAGTTGACTTGTGGTGTTGCTGTTCTTCATGAACATGGTATTGTTCATCGTGATATCAAAACTGCCAATATTTTTTTGGCGGATGAAGGGAATTGTTTGAAAATTGGTGATTTTGGGTGTGCTGTGAAAATTAAATCGCACACTACTATGCCAGGGGAGTTACAAGGGTTTATTGGAACTCAAGGTAAATTTTGATTTGGAAATCTTACTAAGTTATATTTATTTTTATTATTTAGCTTACATGGCTCCTGAAATGTTTATGAAAACCCAAGTGAATGGTCATGGAAGGGCAGCTGATATTTGGTCTGTTGGTTGTGTAGTTGTTGAAATGGCCACAGGAAAGGTAAATTTTTTTATCTAAATTAATTTTTGTTAAATTAATTTTGTTGTAAAGAGACCTTGGGCGGAATTTGATTCAAATTACCAAATAATGTTCCGCGTTGGAATGGGTGATCGACCGGAAGCTCCCGAAAATCTCATTGATGAAGGTCACGATTTCCTTAATAGATGTTTACAACACAACGCAAAGGAACGAGCGACAGCCGCCGAATTACTACAACATAATTTCGTTAAAATCGGCGAAGAAGAATAGGTAATAAGTAATGAGCAATTAATTATTATTCAGAAAAGATCAGGTATTTTATTTTTAAACAAGACTGAGCATGATGTACTACTAATTTTAACATTTAAAGAATTAAGTTTTAAACAAAAATTTTAAAAAGAGTATTTATTGGAATTGTGGAAAGGGATAAATATTAATAGGAACAAAATCTTTTAGTTGACCTAATGTCGTTAAAAAAAAATTTATTTAATCCCATTAATTAATTTAATTATTACAATTTCGGCTGTCTATTATTAATTTTAACTTAAGCTATTCGTTAGGAATTCGCGAAGAATTGATTTTAAAGTGTTTAGTATTAGTGACAACTTGTGATTATGAAGAAATAAAGTAGGAGTAGAAACAAACAATTGTAATTATTGTGAATATATTTTATATCTGATTTTGGATTTTATTGAATTGAAACATCTTTTTTTATAATAATTTTCAAAAAAATCCTGATCCTATTTTTGCTTAATTTACCGGGAATTTCATATAACTTGCAATATATGAAAGAACTAATGTGTAATTACACTAATTACACTGTCCCACACAAAATACAACATAGCTTAATAGTACAGGCATTGGGTAGTTTTGCAAAGGAAAAATTTTGCTTGGAAAAGGTGACGCCCTTATGATAACTCTGAGTTTTCGTCTTAAGAGACGCATGGCCAAACTCGAATGTTTCTAGGTCTAGTATTAATTCTAGTTTTACACTAGCACTGTTACCATGTAGAACTAACACTATACCTAGAACTAGAATCATTTGGGTTTAGCTGCACGTCTCTAAAGACGGCTAAACCCGAATAATTCTAGTTCTAGGTATAGTGTTTTAGTTTTCCATTTGCACTGTCACTAGAAACATTCGGGTTTAGCCGTGCGTCTAATAAGACGGCTAAAGCCGAATGATTCTAGTTCTTGGTCTAGTGTTAGTTCTAGTTTTATACTAGCACTGTTACCATGTAGAACTAACACTATACCTAGAACTAGAATCATTTGGGTTTAGTCCTACGTCTCTAAAGACGGCTAAACCCGAGTGATTCTAGTTCTAGGTATAGTGTTCTAGTTTTCCACTTGCACTGTCACTAGAACTAGAAACATTCGGGTTTAGCCGTGCGTCTCATAAGATGGCTAAAGCCGAATGATTCTAGTTCTTGGTCTAGTGTTAGTTCCAGTTTTACATTAGCACTGTTGCAATGTAGAACTAACACTATACCTAGAACTAGAATCATTTGGGTTTAGCCACACGTTTCTAAAGACGGCTAAACCCGAATGATTCTAGTTCCAGGTATAGTGTTCTAGTTTTCCACTTGCACTGTCACTAGAACTAGAAACATTCGGGTTTAGCCGTGCGTCTCATAAGACGGCTAAAGCCGAATGATTCTAGTTCTTGGTCTAGTGTTAGTTCTACTTTTACACTAGCACTGTTACCATGTAGAACTAACACTATACCTAGAACTAGAATCATTTGGGTTTAGCCACACGTCTCTAAAGACGGCTAAACCCGATTGATTCTAGTTCTAGGTATAGTGTGCTAGTTTTCCACTTGCACTGTCACTAGAACTAGAAACATTTGGGTTTAGCCTTGTGTCTCATAAGACGGCTAAAGCCGAATGATTCTAGTTCTTGGTCTAGTGTTAGTTCTAGTTTTACTCTAGCACTGTTACCGTGTAGAACTAACACTATACCTGGAACTAGAATCATTTGGGTTTAGCCATACGTCTCCAAAGACGGCAAAACCCGAATGATTCTAGTTCTAGGTATAGTGTTCTAGTTTTCTACTTGCACTGTCGCTAGAACTAGAAACATTCTCGTTTGATATCTTAATGTGAAGTAAAATGAAAGCCGTGGTGAGGCTTAAACGATGTTTATTATCAAACAATTATAATTTCGGTGCTACGCGTGTTTCGCTATATAACAGCATCAACAGGCACGACGTCATAAGGCTATAGACTTAAATCGGAAGCAACAATGCTGTTGCTTGATGTCCACCTTTACCACGAACAAAGATGGCCTAACTCAAGTTTAATTTTTATTTTAGTGCAATTTTAATTGTTTCAAAATTCAATTTTACATTACTGTGATCACATTTTGGAACATTTATATTATTATACAAACCGTTTGGGCTAAAACAAGGAACTTTTCATGAAGAAATAATTTAGAGGTTAAGAAAAGCGTGGACGAACCACGGATACTCATTGTGCTACAGTTTATTTCCAAAAAGATAACTCCACAAATTTTTCCATTCTTAATTTACATAATAATACGATCTACCTCCGCTCTTTTTAACACTTCTAGTTGTAGATTACCCATATCGTCTAGGTAATGAAGAACATTACCTGACGAAAATCTCGATTACTAATACTTATATACATTTACTAAGAAAGTCAGTACTTGTAAACACGCTTGCAATGCTGTTGCTTGATGTCCAGTCTATCCCTTCCGATTTAAGTCTATAGCCTTATGACGTCGTGCCTGTTAATACTGTTGTACAGGTGATTCAAAAAACCGTTGACAGACTTCTAGGGAAGGTAATACATCAAAAATTAAGATGAAAAATCTTGATATATATGGGGTCGCAAATGCTTCCTTAACGAGATATAGCGGGTCAAAGTTTGTTTAAAATTAAATATTATCTGCAATAAAAAGCCCTTTTTTAAAAATATTTTCAACTCCATCGCTAATTTTGTCAAATGAGCAGTATTTTCGTGTAAAGTGATCAATTATCTATCAATTGGTCTCTTATAAAACTTTGATTAAAGCAACAGTTTTTGATTGAGTTAACAAATTTTCTACAAACGTGTTTTTTTTTTTAAACTATCGAAACTACGATCAAAGTTTTGTAAGAGACCAATTGCTAGATAATTGATCACTTTACACGTGTATAGAGCAATGGCGTACTTTGATCCGCACCCATATCGACACCCCGTAGTTTTGCGACTCCATGTATATTAAAACTATTCATCTTAATTGTTCACGTATTATCTACTCTAGAAGTCTGTCAGCGGTTTTTTGAATCAGCCTGTATAGTGAAACACGTGTAGCACCGAAATTATAATTATTTGATAATAAACATAGAAACATCTTGGTTTAGCCGTGCGTCTCATAAAACGGCTAAAGCCGAATGATTCTAGTTCTAGGTATAGTGTTAGTTCTAGTTTTCTACTTGCACTGTCACTAGAACAGGGTTTTTAGAAACATTCGGGTTTAGCCGTGAGTATCATAAGACGACTAAAGCCGAATGATTCTAGTTCTTGGTCTAGTGTTAGTTCTACTTTTAGTTAAATAAAAATGTACAACAATCTAGGGCTGCATAACAATTAAAACTAGAACTAGAAAGTTTCGAATTTATCCGTGCGTCTTGAGACCTGGTGTCTATGCAAATATATTTTTGTTTAATTCACTGTATAAATTTAATGATTAATTTCTTTTCAATCTGATAAAATCTGACACCATTCACAATTTATGCCGGTTAGATTTAGATTAGCGTAACACATAAATTACTTTAAAAATTGCAAAAACTGCTTTGTAGCACTCTATTGAAAAGCAAATTTAGTTTTACACTGATATAGATTGTTATTAGTCATAATTAAACTGAATTCATACGACAAGATTAATGATTTTATGCAGAATAGAACCATCTTTAATCCTTTTAAACAGGCAAGATTGTAATAATTCCAGCTTGGTGAATCTACGATATAATTAGTTTCATTTATTGTTCTTTATTTCTAAAGACGAATTTTCGACTGCAAACTCATTTTTAAAACAAGAGTTCAAGGAATAGGAAAACATAATAAAATAAGAATCGTAAATGCTAAATTGCTGAGAAAGCTGAGGGCTTTTTTAATGTACAGGGTAGTCAAATAAGCGTGTAAAATACTCTCAAAAAACAATAGAATGAGGAATGCCCTCGAAAGTGAGGTGAAGTATCTTCTAAACTAAGGCACATAAAAAACTGTTCGAAATCCATTGAGTTTTCTCATAAAATCTTCTCTCACTAGCTTGTTTGGACTTAATTTTGCCATTTTTGCATGATAAAAAAAAGTAATACCCATAGATTTAACATTTCTAAGAAAACTTACAATTTCTATTGTAATATCGAAAAATGCTTTCTAGTGGCAACATACCAAATTACAATCACCACAAATAAAGTAGGATTTGCAGTCCAAAAAAAAGGTCTTTTCAACGTACCAAGCTTATTAAATTTAGTTCAACCATTTTGAAATTATTGGCATTTTTTTGCAAACATTTTCGAACAATCCTCACCAAAGAACAAGTCTATACAAGGAGTAGTTTCCGAGATACAGTACTTTGGACGCTTATTTGGCCACCCTACACAATCATTTAGATTGTCAAAAGCAATTCCCTTCGTGTAACCAAGTGTCCCGATCGACTTGGTTGAATATGAACAACCCAATTTAATCTTACTCAACCCCAACCCAACCCTAACCAAGTTTCCCAGTCCACTTGGTTACATGAAGATAATATGAACAACCCAACTTAACCTTACTCAATCCCAGCCCAATCCAACTCTAAGACAAATTTTCCTCATTTTAGTCATTTTAGCGTCTGAAGACGCACGGCTACACCCGAATGTTTCTAGTTCTAGGTCTTGTGTTAGTTTTAGTTTTACGTTAGCACTGTTACTATGTAGAACTAACACTACACCTAGTTCTAGAATCATTTGGGTTTTGCCTCACGTCTCTAAAGACGGCTAAACCCGAATGATTCTAGTTCTAGTTTTACACTTGCACTGTCACTAGAACTAAAATTAGACCTAGTGGCAATGCCAGGTAGTGCTAGTTAGCACTAGATATCGCTATGTTGCATATTTTCATTGAACTAAAACTAGAACTAACACTATACCTAGAACTAGCCGCACGTCTCTAAAGACGACTGAACCCGAATGATTCTAGTTTTAGGTATAGTGTTCTAGTTTTACACTTGCACTGCCACTAGAACTAGAAACATTCGGGTTTAGCCGTGCGTCTCATAAGACGGCTAAAGCCGAATGCTTCTAGTTCTTGGTCTAGTGTTAATTCTACTATTAGTTCAATAAAAATATGCAACAATTTAGCGCTGAATAACAAATAAAATTAGAACTAACACTATACCTAAAACTAGAATCATTTGGGTTTAGCCGCACGTCTCTAAAGACAGCTAAACCCGAATGATTCTAGTTCTTGGTCTAGTGTTAATTCTACTATTAGTTCAATAAAAATATACAACAATTTAGCTCTCGGCTTTAGCCGTGCGTCTTCAGACCTAGTGTCTATGGAAATATATTTTTGTATATTTTGCATCTTAAGTGAAATTCACTATATAAATTTAATGATTAATTTCTTTTTTAGATTATCCAAAAAGAATCCTGCATCCTAAAAAAATCCTCTCAACTATTCAACC